GGGACCCAGGCAGGCTACTAATTATCACCGATGCCAGCCTCCTGAGTTGGGGTTTCTATATGCAGGGCCAGATAGCTCAGGGCATTTGGTCCAGATCAGAGCAGACTCTTCCCATAAATTGGCTAGAGCTCAGAGCCATTTTTCTGGCTCTCAAGCATTTCAGGCAATCAGTGACCAGCTCTCATGTTCTAGTCCTTACAGACAACATGGCTGCAAAGGCTCATGTCAGCCGGCAAGGGGGGACAAGGTCCAAGGCCCTCATGAGAGAGGCTCTACGGTTGGGGTTATGGGCAGAGAATCACCTGTTGTAGATCTCAGCAGACCACATCTCTGGGGTCTACAACTCCCAGGCCGACTGGCTCAGCAGGAGCCTAGTCGACCAGGCAGAATGGTCCATTCCTCCATCTCTATTCAGGGATCTTTCCCTCAGATTCGGAGCACCGGAGGTGGATTTCTTCTCCACTCCTCAAAACGCCCAAGTCACCAGATTCTTCACCAGGTTTCCTTGCCAGGGATCGGAGGGGACCAATGCTCTTTGGTGCAGATGGCCCAAGGGTCTCCTCTACACCTTTCCACTGCTTCCCATCATTCCGGCAGTAATTCGGAATATGTTGAAGGAACATGCGGAGCTCCTCCTCCTGGTACCCTATTGGCCAAGGAGGCCCTGGTTTGCAGACCTGGTCAACCTATCGGTGGCTTCTCCTTGGAGGATCCCAGCCCATCTAATCTCCCTTCATCAGGGGATTCTGCTCCACCCGGAGCCCCAGTGGCTCAAGCTGACCATGTGGCACTTGAACAGCAGCAGCTAGAGGAGGCTGATCTTCCAGAAAGGCTCATCCTCATTATCCTGGCATCTCGCAAACCTTCTACAAGACACATCTATGATGCCACCTGGAAGGCTTTTTCCCAATGGTGCCTCAGGGAGGGTCTTTCTCCTGCTTCAGCCCAGTTGGCAGAAGTTCTTAGCTTCCTTCAGCATGGGCTGGAGAAAGGTTTGGCCTCCAACACCTTACGCAGGCAGGTTGTGGCCCTCTCCTTGGTCCTTTCATGGGGTTCGCTTCCTTCCTTATCCCATCACACTTCAGTCAGGAGGTTTTTGAAAAGGGCTTCCAACCTGCACCCTCCGGTGATTCACAGGTATCCTTCTTGGGACTTTCATATGGTCCTTAATGCCCTTACAAAGCCCCCCTTTGAACCCCTTAGAACAGTGTCTTTCCATTTCCTGACTCTGAAGGTAGTGTTCCTTGTTGCCATCACTTCTGCCAGGAGGGTTTCCGAGCTTGCTGCGCTTTCCATCAGACAGGACCTTTGTTCCTTTCATGATGATAGGGTTGTTCTTCATCTGGACCCCTCATTTATTCCGAAGGTTAACACCTGGTTTCACAGGTTCCAAGACATTGTTTTGCCTGACTTCTGTCCTCTCCCGCACCATGACTTAGAGCGGCAGTGGCACACGCTAGACGTAAGAAGGGCTCTTAGAATATACATTAAGCGCACTTCCTTCTTCAGGAAGTCAGAAGCCATGTTTGTTTCCTTTTTCTCTTCTCACTTGGGGCACAAGGCCTCTTCTCCTACTATTAGCAGGTGGGTCAGGTCTTGCATTGAGCAGGCCTACAAAGCTATGGCCCTTCCCATTCCCCGAGGTCTGACGGCGCACTCTACCAGAAGCGTGGCCACTTCTGCTGCCTGGACAACCCAAGCACCCTTGGAGGAGATTTGTCGTGCGGCCACATGGACATCCACGTCTCCTTTCATCAGACACTACTGTCTGGATGCCTTTGCCTTGGCGACTGCAGCCTTCAGCAGATGGGTGCTTCAACAAGTGGTTCCACAGTTGGTGTGATGAGCCAGACGAGGACCTGCCCATGGACATGCAAGCTTTGGTATGTCCCATCCTGGGCTTTTGATGCAGCATGGAGGAGAATGGGCATTGGTAGAAGTTACCGTGAATGCCCTTTCTATCTATGCTGTGAGAGAGCCCAGCCCCTCCCTTGATTCATCCGGAGAGGGTAAGACATATTTCTGTATTTATTTTGGGCTTTCAGAGACACCTTTCAGTCTGTCAAGTATCTTCTCCAAAGCTGGGATCTCTCCCGGGGGCTGACTTTTATATCTTAGTACAGACTCAGCTAAATGACATCATAGGAAGGAGTCAATCCATCCTGGGCTCTCTTGCAGCATAGATAGAAAGGGCGTTCACAGTAACTTCTACCAATGCCCATTTTTGTTGTTCAAAAGATACCAGTAAGCTGCTTCCACAGCCTAGAAATTGAGTCGTTTGTTTAATTTTATGTATGTGTTTTGAGAACATTCGACATCAACACAATTCCTTGACAGACTTCAGTTCTTCTTTCCCTTGAGAAAATGGGCCGTTTACTCCTTTTCCTTGCTTTCTGATTTTAGTTGTCAGCAAACCAGTTAAAGAACCAATCCTCTTATAATTGATCCTTAGATCTTAAGAACTTTTGTGGAGGAATGTTGTCAAATGCCTTTTGAAAATCCTGGTAAATGATGTTGATATAAGATTGCCCCCATTCAGAAGCTTGTAGAAATATTAAAAAATCTACCAAAGGTTAGTGGGGTAGAATTTAGGTACATTGTCCTTCCACAAGGTGGCTGCAGTCAGCCAGCTATTTAGTTTAAATTTGGCATCTTTAGCCATCTATTAAATCCTTCCCAAGCATTATTATTATTTAAATGTATATGCTACCCAATAGTCTTGCAGCACGTCTATCTTCTTCCAGTTTTTGTTGTTGTTTTGCACAGAAGTAACCAATTATTGAAATAGAAAATTTCAAATTAATTATCATACTTTGATATTGCTTGGTATTGGATATTTAATTATATTTATCATATTATTTTAATGAATTAAACCATAATTAGGTAATTGCTAGGATTTAAAGGTTTGCCCTGAATGCAGTCTATAAAATTGCATTTCTGTTAGGTTTTTTTGTATACCTGGCAAATTAAACAATCTACATACTGTGTACTTGAATATAATAATGAGACACCATGACATTTGAGGAGCTGCCCAGAGTCATGCTATTTTCCAAAGTGCCTGAAGACTAGACAAGGAATAGTGAATGGAAACTGATCAAGGAGAGATTCAACCTAGAAATAAGGAGAACTTCTCTGACAGTGAGAGCAATCAACCAATGGAACAGCTTGCCTTCAGAAGTTGTGGGAGCTTCATCACTGGAAGCTTTCAAGAAGAGATTGAACTGCCATTTGTGAGAAATGGTGCAGAGCCGTGATGGTGAACCTATGGCACGTGTGCCAGAAGTGGCACGCAAAGCCATTTCTGCTGGCACTCGAGCCATCGGCCGGAATAGATCCACTGAGCATGCACACATGCCCCCTGTGAGCCAGCTGATTGTTGGGTACCTGCCATGCATGCACAGGGGAAGATGTGCACATGGGAGATGTGTGTGCATGCGCAGGGGGTGGGTTGCACAGGTGGGTTGCACATACATGTGTAGAGGTGCAAGGTGCGCATGTGGGGAGATGCACATGCATGCACAGTGGGTGGGGGGGGGTCATGCACACATTGCATTATGGGTGCAGGTATGTGTACGGGCACGCACATACTTTTGGCACACGACAACAAAAAAGTTAGCCATCACTGGTGTAGGGTCTCCTGCTTGGGTAGGGGGATTGGACTAGAAGACCTACACGGTCCCTTCCAACTCTGTTAATCTGTGAAATTGTGGTGATGCAGTATACATTGTAATAATAAACTACTTTGTAAAAGGAGGCTCAAAATTTTCAGTATGAGTAGTCCAACTGAACCCCAAAATTTTATTGTTAAGCAAGATAATGATTAAGTGAATTTTGCCCTATTTTAAATTAGTAACATGGTTGTTGAGTGAACCTGGCTTCTCCATTGACTTTGCTTGTCAGAAGGCTGCAAGAGGTGATCACATGACCCCAGGGCATTGGAACCGTCATAAATATGAATCAGTTGCCAAGCGTCCAAATTTTGATCACATAATCATGGCGATGCTGCAACAATGGTTAATGTGGAAAATGGTCATAGGACACTTTTTACAGTGCCATTGTTAACTTTGAATGGTCACTAAACTAATGGTTGTAAGTCAAGGACAGCCTATACAAGAAACACATGCTAAAAGAGTTATAATTTGTGGAAGGAGATAAGAAGCTTACCTGAGATCTGTTCTAAAAGGTGTAAAGAGTAGACTTCATAGATCTCTTATGAGATCATTTTTCAGTACATCTAAAATTTGATTTACAATAAGATTGGATGGAATCATTATATCTAGTAACGGAACTCCATTTTATTTTTTAGCTTGTATGCATTACTGCATATCCATTAGTACATATATACATATGTACATATAGTACATATATTAGTACATTTTTAGCACATATGCATTATATGTATGTAGTATTTATGAGCTACCCGTGCTTTGTCACTTAGTTTAATGAAAATAGCAGTAAATTCCACTATTTGGCCTCTTTGCTCTGATATTTGTTCCATCTTATTGTCACCTCATACTGGAATAATATAAAATTAGGATCCCATTTGGAAAGGCAAGGATTTTTAAAATTTTGTGTGTATGTGCATGCGTGGTGTGTGTGTGTGAAATGTATGTATGTATGTAATGATTCTAACTACTGCTGGTATTCTTCATATATAGCCCCTCGATATCCAACTTGTTCAGAGATGAGTATCCAGGCAGATTCAGGATTTGTAGTAAGCTAGTTCAGTTATTTAAATTCAGTCTCCAAATGTACAGGAGTGCTACATGGTTCTGTTTGCTGTATTTTTGAGCTAGGTTTTCTTTATTTGATCTTGGCAGAGTAAGGTGATCTCCAATATTTTTCCATAAATTAAATATGTACTGATCAAGAACAGAACACACACACACACACACACACACACACACACACACACACACACACAGAGTTTAGTTGAACAGAATCCCTGAAAAAGGAAGATTTGCAAGAGTAATATATTGCCTTTTCTCCCCCTCATATAGGTTCACATGATTCCTTCAGCTACTGGGTGGATGAGAAATCTCCTGTGGGACCAGATCAAGTCATAGCAATTCGGCGGATAGCTAAAATTCCTTTGGTAAAAAAGCTAATGAAGAAATGGTCAATAACACAAGATCTGACCTTCAAGGAGCAGCTTGATAGTGGAATACGGTATTTTGACCTCCGTGTATCTTCCAAACCAGGTGAAGCAGGACAGGAAATCTATTTTATACATGGCTTGTTCGGAACCACAGTATGTGATGGACTTGTGGAGATAAACAACTTCTTAACCCATCATCCTAAAGAAGTAATTTTCCTGGATTTCAATCATTTCTATGCTATGGATATGAATCATCATATGTACCTTATCAGCAAGATTGAAGAAATATTTGGATCAAAACTCTGCACAAAAGAATGTGTAGAAAATGTAACACTGCAAAGTCTTTGGGAAAAGCAACAGCAGGTATAGAATTTTTTTTTATTCTATGTAATGGGATTTTTATACTTTGAACTACTGTTAGATCAGTGGTGGAATGCTGCTGGTTCGCACTGGTTCAGTCGAGCCAGTAATAAAAAAATCCTCCCATGATCAGCTGAGAAGAGGAAAAAATGCCTCCACAATCAGCTGAGAGGAGAAAGAAGAGAAAAAGCGCAGAACCGGCCCTTCCACTTGCCTCTGCACGTTTCTCTTCTTTATCCTTTCAACTGATTGTCACTGCAGGTCTCAGGGGTATGGGAAAGCTGCACACGGGAGTTAGGCAAAGAATGCCCACCAAGCCATGCCCACCAAACCGGTGGTAAAACAATTTTGAATCCCCCCACTGTATTAGATGGCCTTTGGAAAAGCATCGTTGCAGGTTATGGGATATGTTTGAAGAAGGAAATCTGAAACTGAAGCAGATAGTAGTTTTCAAACATCTATAACTCCCTGGGTTATCTTACTTGTATCTTAGCACAGAGTCTCTCTGTAACACTTCTTCCATTCTATAATACCTGTGAGTTCTTCTCTTTCTAGTAGAGCTGAACTCCTTTTCAGGTGAATGTTTAACTGAATAGAAATTACCCTGAATTTGTCCCTCTAATGTTTTTTTAAATTCTGTAGCCTTGAATCAAAATTGATATCTCTTGTGGTAAAGCTAATAGAAATTTTTTTTCTATGTCAACCTTACGGGGTAGACTAGATTAAAAAAAAGTCTACAGATAGTCCTCAACTTATGACCACAAGACCACAATTGAGCCCAAACTTTCTGTTGCTAGATGAGACAGTTGTTAAGTGAATTTTGCCCCATTTTATGACTTTTCTTGCCATAAGTGTTAAGTGAATCACTGCAGTTGTTAAGTTAGTAGCATGGTTACTAGGTGAAACTGGCTTCCCCATTGAATTTGCTTGTCAGAAGGTCTCAAAAGGTGACCCAGGATTCAAAAAGTGACCCTGGGAGACTGCAGCCATCATAAATGTAAACCAGCCATCTGAATTTTGATCATGTGACCCTGGGGACGCTGCAATCGTTGTAAGTGTAAAAATGGTCATAAGTCACATTTTTTTCTGCCATTGAAACTTTGAAGGATCACTAAATGAACTGCTGCAAGTTAAGAACTACCTGTACTGAAAGAAGCTCATGTTGTTGAAATAACTTATAATAGCAAAATCATACAAGCTTGATTATCCTTTGCCCAGTCCCCATCCCTAAATCCCAATGAGAACCAAGGAGGAGCTTGCTTGAATCTCTTCTGTATACTGTCATGTTTCCCAGGCCTTAAAGAATGCCCTCCATTTATATAATAATTCTTGTCTATTTCCCTCAAGGCCATCCTCCTAATTCTGTACATGCTAGCTAAGCAAAGTCCTCTTTTTAATAATTGCTTATCTACCTCTGCAATCAGTTCTGTCCCATTTAATTTAATCCATTTTCCTTCCTGGTTTTTCCGTATTTCATAAAAGCTACATTACCACATTATTGTCTTTCCTATGAACTATGTGCCTTTCCCAATTCAGTCACACTTTCTGTTCCTCCTGGATTATCAAAGTTTGAACTTCTCCAATTATTTCAGTTCTGTGAGGCAGCTATCCTTATTCTTCCTCCTATATTAATATATTCTGAAGAAATACGGTTCTCCAGAGATCATCTATGCCGTTTCTTTTTCAACTTTAGCCATGTGAATAGCTTTGTTCAGCTCTCTCAAAAATAAATTAAACAGCAGCAGGTGCCAAAGCTGTCCACCAGGTGGCAGTATTTGAATATAGATGCTAGCAGTAGTTTATTTATTCAGTTTGATGCTGCTTAACTACAAATGACTTTGAGCAACTCACAACACAAATAAAACCAATATTATAAAAACATTCATCAGAACCAGATTTATACAAGATGGTGAATCTGGCAAACCTCAAAAGTTAGAATGTTGAGGGACTTGCTTCCAAATTAATGTTATGCATTAATTCATAATTTATGGGTGATAATTCAACAATATCCCACTTATTGTGGGACTGCCTTTATGTTCCAGAGAAACAAGAAAAGGATACCCAAATGTGGGAAACCTATAAATAAATTAAACTTTCACAATGCAGCATGGCCTAGGAGATGTTATTGTTTTTCCCCTTGTGGATCCAAAAGGAGAGTTGGTAAAATATAATGGCAACAAGTAGAACAAATAATGAGATCCTTATTGTAACCCCATCTATTGTGTGAAAGCTCAACATGGGTGATATTCTTTCTTTTCATTTCTTTTAATATATGATGATACTAATTCTGTTCGAGAACAGATTAAGAATTTGAAGGCAGATAGTGATGACTAATTATTCCAGGACTAAAATGGAATGAAATGGCAACTCATGCAATCCAATTCAGTATCACCTTTGTTGTTGCATATATAATAGGATTAAATAGCAAGTTTTATTAAATGTTGAAAGGCCTTCAAATTGTTTCCACAATTTTGGAACGTTCATTAGATGAAAGTGGTAGCAACAAGTTATGAGTTTATCTAGTAAGGTATGACCCGATATTGGCCAGATTTTACTTTTAATATCTTTGTGCTATCTCACAGACAATGATCTTTTCAACTGTTGTATTCTTTGCCTGCTGTTAGAGAGTGATATGAATATAAATGAATTTAACCCAGGAAACGATTTCAGTTGCTTTATTTTTACCTCCATTTTTTCAGGTTCTTGTTTTCTACCATCATTCTATTTGTGAAATATATCCCGTTCTATGGGCAGGGAATAAAATGCCAGCTCCCTGGGCAAACACAACTAATGTACATAAACTGCTGCAGTTTTTAGAGACTACCCTGAAAGAGCGAGCAAAACATGGAACTTTCCATGTTTCCCAAGCTATTCTCACACCAAGAGCCAAAACTTTTGCATGGCATCTCAGCCGTGGCCTGAAAAACACTCTTGTTCACAGGTAAGTATCTGCTTAAGTTTTCTGTCCAACTATTGATAATTAACTAAATATACCAGCCCACCTTGTAAAGTCATTAAGGGCACAATCCTTTGATTCCTGGGAGATTAAAGAGTCTTTGGGAACTGATAAACAAAAGTTAGTTACCACGGAAATGAGATGTTTGAGGAAAGCTCCTGAAGTGACCAGAAAAGATAAAATCAGAAATGAGATCATAAGAGAAAGAATTAGCATAGAATCAATCTTAAACTACATAGAAAAACAGAAAATAAAATGCTTTGCTCACCTGGAGAGCACGTCTTGGGACTCCATGCCATACAAGGCATATACAAAAGGAGAAGGCCAAACATGAGGTAGACTCAGAAGAAGATGAAGAAACAACATCAAAGACAGACTACAACAGAGTCAAATAACAATGGTTGAGACCTCCAGAAGAGCAAGAACCAAAACTCTGCATCTCCCTCGCCCCCTGAAGTGGTAAAAGAAGTTAAGAAGAAGATTAGGAACTATCCCTTTGGAGATACTTGTATACTGGGGTTGGGCAGAGAGAATATGCCACCTGTTTTCCTGTTCCATTAGAACCAATTAAAAGAAACAAACAAACAAAAACAGAGAAAAAGTATCATTCTGAAGTTTCAGAAGAATACATTAAGCAGATTTTGTGTTAGGATCCTTTAGAAATAAATTGATGATGTGATGAAAATCCTGTTTAGATTTTATAGAAACGTGCATACACACACCATGCACTCATTAAATGAATGAAATATACAGTAATAGTTTTTTAGATTAGGAAAAATTTTTTTGACTGAAACATTTTTTATTTCTGTGTTTCACTATGAATGGAAGGCAATAAGAGGTGGCAAAACCAGTTCTTTCCATTCAAAGATAATGTTCTCTGGTTACCTGGAACTCATACATGATCTTCTATAAAATATAAGCAGACATTATCTTCTGGGTTAAAATAAGGTTCTGTCTTTCCTGCTTCTTTCTGGCTCAAATAGAATTGACCTGACACACGAGAGACATTTCAAAAAGATAGTTTTAAAGCTATCACCAGTCTTGTCTTGAAGAAGAAATGAACACTTGAGTGAGAAAAGATTTCAGAGGTAGAGAACAATTCTTTCCTCTACTATTCTTTCCTCTACTATTCAGCAAAGGCTGGAAATGAGGAAAGAGAAGGAAGTTGGCACAGCTGTGAAGTTTCCAGCTCTTTCTAAGTTTTGTCTCTTATGAACAGACATGTAAGACAAGCCATATATCATCCTTAGGCATGAGAGTTTTTTGCTCAACGATCTTGGCACCCCTGAACCCATTGTGCTATTTAGTGATAAAATCCATTTCCTCGTTGGCCATTTCTTTCTATGGAGCAGCATAGAAAATAGTTCAGAGAAAAATACACTTCCTATTCTTCCATTCCCCTATGCTCCCTGCTTGAAGAGATATTGGGCTCCACTAGTAAACAAAAAAAGGTGAATCTTGTTTATTCCTTCTGGATACTTAAGCAAGAACCAATGAGCAAAAGAGGACTCAGTCTAGGAAAAGCCCCTTTGTCTGTTTGTTCATTTACCATTTTGGTCTAATCGTTCAATCCATCTAGCTCAGTGGGATGGAAGATCAGACTAGGAAAAATAAGAAATTTAAATTTAATAATTGCTCCCATCCGTGGTCTTTTCTTCATTCAAAGTAAAAGTGACAGTGTTAAATCTGCATGTTTTCAGTGATGATTTAACATTACATATAATTTACCTCTTAGTGACACTTTTAAAGATAATTGTGGAATTAGTTGAACAGCCCCCCCCCCCACCAAAAAAAAGACATCTTTGAATGTAAGTATTCCTGGAAGCTGTAAATTGGACTGCAGCTTTTGCACAAATATACAACCACAAAATACAGTGAGAGCAAAAAAAGAAATAAACAGAATCATCTTCTGTACCCCTCAAGAAAAATAGTGGTGGATGTAAAAATGAAAACAGATTCCTCGTTAGGAGCTTTCCCCTTGCATGAGTATTATCCTTAAATGGAAACTTGATGAAAAATATGTCATTTTTAAAACTTGAAAATGTTCCTTGAAATCACAATTCAAATGACCTCAGACATTTTTTGGAGCAGTTCAAAACTCTCTTGGTTTGTTCTGAATGATTTCCAAATAACTCTCATTGCCCACTTCATATCTCTTTTTTTGCACATCCTACGTCCGTGATGGCGAACCTATGGCACGCGAACCTATGCACACAAGCTGCAAGCAAACTTACCTCATTGCACATGTGCACACCTCACAGCTGATTTTAGGCCATTTGAGGCCTTTTTCAGCCTCCCAAAGGCTTGAGGAAGGCTTCTTCAGGCTTCAACAAGCTTTGTAGGCCGAAATCTAGCCCCATTTCGTCACTTCCTGTTTTTCCGAAAATACCAGAAGTGACAAAATGGGGCTAGATTTTGGGCTACAAAGCTTGTAGAAGCCTGAAGAAGCCTTCCTCAAGCCTTTGGGAGGCCGAAAAGTCCACAAACCGGCCGAAAATCAGCCGTGAGGCGCAGTGCAGGTAAGGGGGCAGCAGGAGGTGGGTGGGTGGCATTGAGCACGCATGTGTAGGGGGCGTGGGGGGACACGCCTTGCCTTCTGGGTGCTGAGTGTGCAAGCAAGTGCACTATTTTTGGCATAGGAGCCCAAAAAGGTTAGCCACCACTGTCCTATCTTATCTCTGTTAGAATAATTATATCTCTAATTGTTTCTATAAAATAAGTAATTTCAAATAGTTTCATGTTAACTTCGTTAGAATTCAAATATGATTGCTTCACTGTTCAAGCCAACAACAGTTATTACTAACTATAACATAGTTTGTTTGGTTTTGATATAGCAAGATATATAGACTTAGTCAGTGCTGGTTCATAAGCAATTGGTGCCTTCCAGATATTCAATTCCTATTAGGATCAACAGCATGACTGATAAGTAATGAAGAACTTCTGTGCTAATGGATGTATGAATCATCAAAAGCCACTATTGAAGAGAAATTATTATATATAAAGCTAAAATAAGTAATAATCTTTACTTTTATTCTGAAGATATATTGTCAAATTAATGGTAACAAGGTTCTGTTTTTTCTTCAATTACAGTGCTTAATTTAGTCTATTAACACTTTAATTTCTCATTGCTTTTAACTTATTGCAGTACTAGATGTGTCAATTATAGTAATATAGCAAGTAACTTACTATAACTTCAGTGGACAGAAAAATAGTCTTAGCAGTGGCAATACACAGGAAGCTCAAACAAACCTATCTTCATCTTTCTCAGAATTAAAGATCAATTTCTACAAATTTCTATTTTTGAAAAAGAATTGCTATACAGTTATAAGGCACTAGATGGTGCTAAAAAATTTCTCATCTAATTACCAAATGTGTTGTATCTTTATTTTAATAACAAAAACAATACAACTATGGATAATATTCAAAATTGTATGATACAGATTAATATTAAATCAACAAAAAGTAGGCAAATCAATGAAATATTTATTTTGCTTGTATTATCTCATTCCTACTCTCGGGTGAATAGCTGACATAAAATATGACTATATACGCAAGCTGCATAGATACATAATGAACTAGGCAATGTTTAGTTTGCTTGAAAGAGGTTTCTGGATAAAAGAGTGAATTTAAAAAGGCTTGTCATTCTTCGCATATCAATTGTATATCTAGTAGCTTGCTTCTCAAATCCAAACTCTTCAAAGCAAAAAATTCACTTACAGTGTTCATGTTATAGTATCATTTCTCACTTTATTGTAGGGAAGGACTAAAATAATAACTTGTTTTTTTTTTAAAGGCAGGAAAACAGCTTATTTAAATTACACTACCTGCTTAGATGTTTACCTAGCACCTTTATCTCTCACTAATGTAACCTATTAGTAAATAATTTAACCAGCTGTTAAACTATTACTTGGCATAGTGTGTGAATAGATCACAGGTTCACAGTATTTATTTTGAACGTTTAAATGTTATTAGGAAGATGTAGGTATTAAGTGACGTATCAACATTAAACAGTCAATTTTAGAATATAAAAACAATGTACAAAAATGTTGATAAACAATGTAGTCAGCTATTTTCTGAACGTATACATAACTTTAGAAATGTAAGTATGGTTTATCTATTATGTGCCATTAAAAGCCTACTTATGTATGGTGTTGCGATGCATTTGTTAATTTCTTTCCCCATTCTTCACCTATAATATATGATGGCTTCAAATGTGGAATGCTGTTGCTGATATTTTTTAAAATAATAAAGTATAATATGTAGTACAAATTTTCTTATTTCCAAGAAGTATTGTCGATTGTCATATAGACATAGTTTGGACTGGAGTATTTGGTGCTTCTGACCTTGATTATTTTCTTGCAGACATTTCATTACCCAACTAGGTAACATTTTCAGTGCTAGCACAACCTAGCTCGGAGAGCTCCAAGAACTCCCCAGTTCAACCCTGAGATACAAATATTCTCTTCTGTTATGATATAATACACAATATATGTAGATTATATATATTATTCTCTATAGCATAAGATATGTCTCATATATTTTCCTTTATTTCTCATAGAAATCTTCCTTTTATTCTGAACTGGGTGAAGTTACAGAAACCAGGAGTCATGGGAGTTAACATTATTACTTCAGACTTCGTGGAACAGGTAGACTTTGCAGCTACCATCATTGGATTAAATAATCTCCTTTTAGAAGGTAAAAAAAATCATGATTGTTTAAAGGGGGGATTCATTTATATCAATTACTCACTCTATTTCAACACTCCCAACCGTTTTTCTGTTTGACACAGTATGAAGACAAAATACTTACAAAGACCTCAATATATAGAGCTAAACTTGCAGGATAGCACATCCTCTGCTGTACATAGGAACATTCTGCCTGTCTCTATGGAAATACAGGATGTGATGCTGGCTGACCAACTGGAGCTCAGCGCTACAACACATGGAAATTATTAGCAGAGGCCTCTTCATGGACTTGTTGAGTATGTACATCCTGCATATCATGAAACCCGGAACTCTGGCTCAAAGGATAATAATAAATTATAAGCTTGATTCATCAGGTTAGGCAACAGTTTACCTCTGTGGATACCTCAGGCAGAAATATGTGCTCTGCTTGTTTCATTACTACTGTACAGTCTATATTTATATTCTGCTACCTCAGTCATTCTTTAGGGAAATATCATTTCTATTGTTTGCTGTGATCTTTAGTAATTATAGTAATGTGTGTGAATTTTTAGAGTTAGATTATGTCTTTAAAACTCAATTTTTTACTTGAACTTGTATTTTAATTCATTATTTTGGAGTATCCTAACTGGGTACAAAGAGGAATTATTTTTAATGCAACACTATTTATTTTGTGGATTTTTTTAAAGTCCTAGATTTAGAATCACTTCTGAGAAGTAAAAGCTAATACCACCTAACCTTTATCTCATTCTGGCATAATTCACTTCTAGCATATTGGAATTTGCACAGAAGAATGTAAATAGGAAATGGCAATCCAGGGTACAACATATCTGCCATTTTGTAGAATTTATTAATTCAATAATTTTTAAATTGTAAAAAATATTTATTTATTTATTGTAAAAAAAAGTATGCTATCCTATTTAATCAGTTCTGGGCAGTTCATAGTAATAAAAGTTGCTGGCATGCCATGCAAAGTTATTATTGCTGCAATTTTATATTTATTTCCCCCCCTGAGAATAAGTCCTACTAAACTAAGTGAAATATGTCAAAGTAGGTAATTCTAGAGACCATAACCTACACTGAAAGTTTAGTACTACACAGTTCTTTAATTTAGTCTCTTTCAGTTAAGCCTCTTATAGAGAAAGCAGTCCTGAAATAGGGACCCACCAAATTTGTATCTTGATCATGGACTTTTTCTAGAGTCTCTGTACATTTTGAATTCCAGCATCGTATAAATATTTTGTTAGTACTTCTTATGGTAGAAAATTATAATGCTGACTTTTAATAGACAAAAGCAATGTATAGTGTAGTACCAGTCAAAATGCAAGAAAGGCAGGCAGCTAGTTCTTAGTGCCAAGACTGGGCCAGAAGAAGAATCAATGCCAATATTTCTAGAACAGCTATTTTCACTTTTATACTATTTTAATTGAAAGGTTGTAGGAGGAGAATTTATAGTTATTTTCCTAAGTACTGTGTTTGGAAATTTCTCATAATACATTCACAGTAGTTTGCCGAAAATGAGATGTCAGAAAAGAAAAGATTTGAAACAAGTTTGTTTCAAGTTTCGAGCAAACAAGTGTTCTTCAGAAATCTCAGTTGCATATAGGATGTTCTGAGTATCCAGTCTATTTCAGGGATCATTTCAGCCATTGCAACGATGGACAGAAAATGAAGGCAGTATTGATATGTCATCCTAAAAGACTGATATACATACCATAGTTTTCTGCAGGGCTGGACTTCTTTTATTTATTTATTCATTATTTATTTATTTATTTATGAAATGCATAGGTGACATAGATACTAGGCAATTTGCAACTATGAAAAACAATCAGAACCATACAATATAGAGTTGAAAGGAAGTCTGGAGAAGAATGGCCATCTATTAAACAAGCAAAAAAACCTGCAAACAGATAGACTCCATTCTAATCCAGGCCCTGGGAATAAAGCCAGATTTTAAGGATTTGGCTAAGCAGGATCAGGATGTTTATCATTGTTACAGCCTGAGGAGGAAATCATTGGGTATCCACAGGAAATATCCTAAATCAACCTTAGCCACTTGAAGATTTATGGACTTCAACTTCCAGAATTCCTCAGTCAGCTATGCTATGCTGACTGGGGAATTCTGGGAGTTGAAGTCCACACATCTTCAAGTGGCTAAAACTCAAAAACACTGTCCTAAGTGATTTAAGTTCTTCTGGTGGTTGATGGGTAAGGGATTCCCCTCAGTTTTTGCTGTATATTTATTTGAATAAAATAATTATTTCCTTTACATCATGGTAACAGCCATTTTACAGTTTTTCTTTTGTGTGTCGTTTAAGGTTTTGCTTTGAAGTTGAAGTTTTAGCATGAAAGAACAATGAAAATAGGGTGTGGTTTTTGCCATTGGCATTTAAGAAAAGAAATTAGTGGTTTCAGATAAGGACTTAGAGATTGATGCTTGCTCTTAAGGAACTTTTATTATCACATGGGGTAGAGATGTTTCACTATAACGCTCAGAGTTGTTTGCACCTGTCCTCCTCATTAAAATCCCACTTTTAACTCGGGTGAACCATGCTGGTTCAGGAATTCTGCGAGTTGAAGTCCAGAGTTCATAATGTTACCATTGCCCATCCTTTTCTAACTTGTACTATTTATGGCCTAATTCAGAATTTGACAAGAAGTTTCTCATCTTTGAACTTGAGGTATAATTCATCCTTTGGGCTGAAATCATTTTTATAGTCTATGAAAATCACTTGATGTTTGATTATTGATTATTAAATATTGATTAAAATTTAATCCAAAGTAAACCAGTATTAATATTTAATTAAGCTGTTATACTAAGCAGGCTCTTTTGGCAATTGCTGATTTCCATACCTGGAAAAGGATACAGATGAACAAGGCCAGTGTTGTAAGGATTTTGTATGCATTTTCCATTGTTAATTTATTTTTCTGTTAATTATTTATAGAGTATTACAAATCATTACATTCACATTCTAGTAGAATATAGGACTTTCTTAGGAAGGGCACTGGAAAGCTGGTGGCTTGCAGCTGCTTTTGTGTACTGAAGCTCAGTGCTTGCCTTTGTGAACTTTATCCGTGATTTGCAGACATTTGGACTGTTTGGCATGATTAGTTCCAGTACGATCTGAAAGTCTCACAAAATGCTGTGGTTATCATCACGTAGCAAGACCGCTTTAACAAAACAATTGCTAAATTTATGTTATAGAATTCCAACCTCACTCATTCACATATTCATAAGTCTCAGCATTAGCAGCCTTCTTCAGGTGACCTTCCTGTCTAGATAGCCAACCATTAATCCGCTTTATTTCTCTGAAATTTGTAGTATGTATCTGTTTATATTTAGGTGCTTCATAATTCCTGTTTTTCAGTTATTCAATTTCTGTTATTTTACCTGACGTGACTGTTAATAGCAGTGTGTTGTTCTTCCCCTACTTAAAGTTCAAGTCTCTCAGATAATTATGCCATGTAAAATAGCCAATTTTATGCACTGTTTTTTAGTAATGTTTTTTCTTATCATTATTATTATTATCTGTATTTTTAAATACTGTACGATTCTCCCAGTGGTCAAGAAACAGTGAACTAATCCTCAGAAATATTTGTTTTTATTCAGGAGGATAAATAGGAAATAAAGAAAGCTTTTCTTTTGTGTTTCCAATTTTGTACCCTAGATCACAGTTAATACTGATATTTTGCTTTATATTAATTAAGTGATAGAAGTAGGAGTTTATATGGTTGCAAATTAATAAAATGAATAAAATATTAGAATAGTATGTATATTATCTTTAAATACTGTATTTGCTATCTCATTTTATGTGAAATCTGGAAAAACTCAGATTTCTTACTGTTTTGTAGACTTTGATTTTTATTCTTAACATTGTACATATTTCAACTTTTTGTTTAGAATGCCAGTTTTACTATTATATGTTTATTGCAATTGTTTTGAGTATTGTAAAATGAGAATACCTCATTTATTTGTGCACATAACATCTACAGAATTTTTTGTCTTTCACATTTATTTAATGCTGAAAAGTCTAGATGTAATTGTGCAATCTGGATGAACACCATAGAGTTACTGTATGCACAATAAAAGTTTTTTGATACGAAGTACATTATAGTTTGTTTTATATTCTTTGCTTTTATTTTGAGAAAAGCAATTAGAAAAACATACAAACTTCCTTTGATGATTACTAATATTGGTTTAAAAGAAGTTGTTTTTAAAGAAATGAAAACAAAGTTTTAAAAAAAGCTGATTTTTTTCCAATTCCACTACATTGTCTCATTTAGAAGATGGCTCTCTCATCTTTTAAATTACTCAAAAATTGAAAGTTTCTTCATTTCAAGATCTTTATTCTTGAACTATTTGGAACATTTGTATGGTTTTTGAGTGATAACGAGTAAATCTAGTACACAGAGCTTGCACTAATATTTGCTCTTCTGACCTCTTCATAACCAATATATTAAAACTCAAATTAGGTCTAGAACTTTAGCTGTTTGTGAGAGACAAAGGAATAACACATAACAGGGGCAGATCTGTTCTTGAGATAACATTTGCAGCATTTTACCTGTGAGCAGGGGTGGGATTCAAATTTCTTAACCGGTTCTGTGGGTGTGGCCTAATTTGTGGGTGTGGCTTAGTGGTCATGTGACTGGGTGGGCATGGCTTGTATATAAATATTTATGTAATATTGATTTTTTTTTTATAAAAAAGCAAGTTTTACCCCAAAGCAGGCAAAGCAGGAAGGCAGATTGAGTTGCTCACAGAATCACAGATTCACTTAGAGATCTATCTATCTGCAATCGGCTACCTAAGTCTGTCACATAAAATTTGTTCGCAAGCAAACTCACAAAATTAACTCACAACACACCATATATGTAAATATTAAAATTTTTATTTAAAAAAAGAACAACTTTTAACCAAAAGCAGGCAAAGCAGGCGGGCAGATTGAATTGCTCACAGAATCACAGATTCACTTAGAGATCTATCTACCTGCAATTGGCTACCTGAGTCTGCACTGAAAAGCTTCAGTCCTAAGGAAAGTTTGGTTCTGCTTTTAGATTAGCTAGAAAGGAAGAAATCCAAGGATTTCTTGCTTTCTAGATAATTTAAATCTCCCGGCAGAGCAGAACAGCTGATGGGCAGGGGGGAAAAAAAGGAAAAATAGCAACTTACCAAACCAGGTAAGTTGGATGGTTCGCATGCCAGGTAAGGAGTAAGTGGGCAGGGTAGGGCAGAGCCAGCTAGTGGAGCGATTTGCCGGTTCTCTGAACTGCGGACAATCATGTGTGTAGTGTTTGCAAGAAATCATCAGCTGTGCCACCTGGACAACTGACAAGCACACTCAGGTATGCAGCGTTTGAAAATCCTCATTTCCTGCTTTTTCAACCTTAGCTGTGCCGTGCAAAGCAGCTGAGGGGGGAAAAGCAAGGAATAAAGGACAGCCTAGAGCCCGGGCAGGTGGGTGGGCCAAACACCAAACCAGTTCAGTGTCAACTGCTCTTCGCAGCTACAGGTTCTATAGAACCTGGCTGAACCAGTAGCATCCCACCCCTGCCTTGAGCAAGGATAAGGTGTGCATTAATGTAGAAAAATCCAAACTAGTTGAAAGAAAATTCATACTACTTCTCATTTTTTTAGTAGTCGTGTGGAATGAAAATGTTGTCTTCAAGTCTTTTAGATAGTCACTCCTGTCTTGGTCTTCTCATGAGTGGATTATAGTAATGCACTCTAGTTAGACTGCCCTTGAGGATTGCTCAGAAGCCATAGTTAATCTTAGAATGCCATGGGACTGGCAGCGTTAGGGGTGTTACATTATGCTCATGTGAGTTACACTGGTTACCAGTTGGCTTCAGATACAATAAAGGTGTTGGTTATCGCCTATAAAACCCTTCGTGGGATAAAGCTTAGCTCCCTTGCCTTCTATTGTTTTCTGCCCACCTCACATATCAAGCAGACTGGGTCCAGTTAATTAAAGTATTATCTTCTGGGATCCTGGAAGCATGTCTTATCTGTTATGGTGCCTATTCTCTGATAGCATTACCACTGAGATTCATACAGCTCACCACCACATTCTGAAAAATCATTAAACATCAGGTGGTTTTATTCCCAGCCCTGAGCTAGGAGGGTTGTGGAATCCCTATATAGCTTTTAAATATTTGAGTTTTTTTAAAATGGCTTTCTAGATGATAATGATCCTTTTATATGTATTGTTTTGTGGGGGGTTTTTTACATGTAAGTTGCCAGAGCACTGAATTAGTGGCCTTAATTAATTAAATAAATATTATTTTAGCCCAATGAACTTCTTAACTCCAAGATATCAAAAAAGTATGGTTCTGGATTTTGCCCCCACACTAAATTTGAATAAAGCATCTAGGAGCTATTTATTTCTGCATACAAAGGCTGTCTTTTGTATGCATTTTATTTGTATTTATATATTTATTTATTGTAAGCACATAGTTTTGTAATCCAGGACAGGCAATGTTATTGATTCATAATCTAGACTTCCTTTCCTATCATTTAACATTGTTTGAAGATTGCAAAGCAATATACTCTTTTGAGTCTATTCTCAATATACTCCTTTTAGTATATTCTCAACCTTTTTGATTGATAGAGAATAGCATTTAAGGGGGAGGGAATCTTCAGAACAGTTCAAAGTCATACTTATTTATGCAACCATTCCTTTATCTTATAAAAGATCTTTTGACAAAAGTGACAAGCGTATTGCTTCAGCCCAGCCACATTCCTGAATAACTATGACAGAATATTTGCTTCTTATGGAACACATGCATCACAAAACTCTTAGTTGGTAACTGAAAAACCAGTTAACTTCTTGAAAGAAAGTCAACTGTGACTTTGGAATGTTTTCCAGTTACTTAACATATTTTACCCTAAGGTAGGAAAAACATTTAAACCTAATAAATGTTTAATATTTATTTAGTTCAACATTCTATCTAATTTAAATTCAAACAAGGATAATGATTCACATGAAAGAAGACTATCTTTGGAAAACAAAAGAGACAGTGCATGACATGCATTTATATTGGTAAACTTACCAATTCAAACTTGCACACAAGCATTTTATAGTCAGGATAATCCACTGGTTAAGGCATAAAGTAGGGCTTATTTGTAAAACAAAGTAGGCATATTAAATTAGACTAAGCTAACAATTATTACTTTTTCTCTATAAGACAGAAATGTTAACAAAGAATGCTGCTGTATTATTTAAGAATTATGCAAATGTTCAAGAAATCCTGAAAATCAGTCTGGATTGTAAAATCATGATCAAGAGGGAGAATAATTTAAAACATTTATATCTGTACTCCTTTTGTTTATTAGAATTAGAGTTTGAATCCATGACTAACAAATAACAATAAATAGCAGTAAATTAAAGTTTGTAGTACAGCATTTTGAACTTGTCTAAGCTGTGGATATTTTTATTCATCCTCACTGGCAATTTTCTTAGTTAAATATTTTTGAAATCCTTGCAATACTTTATGACTATGTCTATGGAGATTATCAGTCATCCAGGTTATGGTTGTCCACTTTTTCACTTCTCATCCTCAGAGTTGAAGAAACTTATTGGATAAGAAGTGAAACATCTTCAAAAAAAAAAACCCAGAAAGTCCAGTTGCCTCTTGAAAAAGCACTTTTGGGACTTTATGATTATGGTAAGCAGTCAGAAAATGAATCTCATATGCTTCTCAGTTAGGGAATCTGAGATTCTCCTGATAATGGAAAACTGCTCACTCCAAGCATCACTTATTGGCCATGTAGCTAGATTCTGTGAAACAGCAGTTAAATAAGGATGTCTATTTGTGTATTTTGTTTCCTGGCTGTTCGTTGCCCATTAGCTGCCTTTCCCATATCATCTTGGCTCTTATCATGGTTATAAAGTAGATGGAAATCGGATCAATATTTCCCAAGTTGGAGTCTTGCCCTTGGTGAACATGCCAAATATTACTTTCAACACCGTTTCTTATCAATTTATAAAGAACTAGCTCTGATTCAAATGATGTTCATTATTTCCAGAAAAAAAAACTAGAAGTTGTATAAATAAATTGTGCTTTACCTATCCCATGAAAGATCTGTAAATGGAAAGATTAAAATATGACAGTCAGTCTGAAATGCGTCCATTCCTGTGAAACCTTCCAAACTGAAAAAAAAAAAATCTCTAGCAGGAAGCAGATTGAAATCTTCAGAATTTTGCTTGTAAGAAAAAATGACATATTTCCTTTTTGTTTTACTTTAACGTATTTGCCATAATTTAACAAACTCATGATTTGGTAAACTGTTTTGCTTAAGATTGCATTGTAATGGGTTATATTGATTTTTTTAAATAAAAAAACCAAAACAAAACCTTACATTTTTAAAAATTTGATTCTAAATTGGCTGGGCATAGTTCACAATAACTTTTTATGTGTAAGCCACTTAAAACAAATAAGAGGTTAGAGATGTGTAGGTACTGTATCACCTCTTGGAATGTCATGTTATTCAACAAACCTTGTTCAGGAGCAATTTCCACTGGATTAGGCATTGGATTCACAGTATTAGTGTGTTTATTTTTTTCTATTGTTTTGCCACAATAGAATGTGTGTGAGTTTTTTTAAAAAATAAAGTGATTGAATAAAAATTAGTCACTTAAAAAGCAGGAAGTTGATGTAGAAGTCAATACTATCACTACAATCTTTAACCAGAAAATTCAAAGAACAGAAACTGGCTGACACAGAGTCAGATAAGAGGGACTAATCCTGACTGCACAATTATGCATCTCCAAAGGGTGTGCCTATACACCTCACATAAGGTGTGTCTATGCTAAAATGAGTCACAAAATCCACAGGAAAAGAATACAACCAAATGTCCCTGGTACAGGTCTCACATGAGTCATCCCAACTGAGCACCATTTCTATTGGACAAATGTATAGTTTTTCATGATCAAAGACCAGAGGCCCTTTTACTCATATCCCCAAATACCTCAAGGTAAATGACCTAGTGCAAAAGCTGGTAAGGATAAATATAGCATTCTAAATGTTTTTCAAATGCAGGCAAATTTATTTAGGGCCTAGCTAATAATTATGAAGTTTGCAGTAAATTTAG